ATAAGGAGGAGTGTTTCGGACTGTTGGGAGTGAACGGCGCCGGAAAGACCACAACCTTTCGTATGCTTACGGGCGACGAGAGTCTGACGGGAGGCCAGGCCTGGATCGGCCGGTTGTCACTCCGGCAGGACTTACAACACTTTCAACGAGAAGTGGGCTATTGTCCACAGTTTGACGCTTTGCTCAACAAAATGACGGGAATTGAGACGTTGTTTATGTTTTGCCGGTTAAGGGGAATGACTGAGGATATGATACCCGCGTATGTGAAGGATCTGACAGCTATGGTAGACCTGACCCCTCACTCAAACAAATGCACCGAAACCTATAGCGGCGGTAATCGACGCAAACTATCGCTGGCTATAGCCCTGTGCGCCGCACCGGCCGTTATATTTTTAGGTACAGTTACCACATAACTCAAATAATTATTTGCAATTGGTAATATGCAATTGGTCTATCTACAACATAATTGATATAATTTTAATATAATATATTGTAGTTTAATTTAAAGTGCAATCAATATAGCTTATCATTAATTACAAAAATAAATTACCACCACTGAGTTTTCATTTGTGTAAGGTTATTTTTAATTTGCCTAAAAATATATCACAACTTATTAGTGCAATATTAATTAAATCATATCAATAATGTCAGTATTAACCACTTGAACATCCCTTTAATGTCAAATATGATCCTCATATCTAACTACACCTTAATCTCAATAACAGATGAGCCGACCTCTGGTGTGGACCCATCGGCCAGACGTAAGATATGGTCAACTTTGGCATCACTTCAGCGCATATATGGCTCGGCATTCGTACTGACGTCACACTCGATGGAAGAGTGCGAAGCCCTGTGCGCTCGGGTGGCCATTATGGTCAACGGACAGCTCCAGTGCTTGGGATCTGTTCAACACCTCAGACACAAGTTTGGACAGGGATTCACTATTTTGGCTAAACTCCGGAGGGATATGACTGAAGATCCCTCTTATATGGCATCCATCGAGCAGTTTGTGCGCCAAGAGATGCCGTCGGCTGTCCTGAAGGACGTCCATCAATGTCTACTTCATTATCACATAACAGATCCACAGATGTTGTGGTCGAAGATGTTTGCACTCATGGAAGACATGAAACACCGCTTCTCTCTCGAGGACTACACCATAAGTGACACCACTTTAGAGCAGATCTTCCTTTCGTTCGCCCGAAGACAGCGATAATTAGTGTTATTATTATTAGATTTAATTATTATAAGATCAATTTTTTATTTATTTATTTAAATTCATGTATATAATTGATGACATAATTTTAATCAGAATATAAATGATAATGTAATTTTAATTATTGTAAATATTGAATTTTTAATTAATTATTAAATTGAATCAGTGAGTTAAAATTAAAGGTAATTTTTTGGTAAAATGAATGTCAATGTAAAGTAGTATTATAATATGATATGAATGTGGTAATATCTAAAAA